ATCACTTCATTTACATCATTTGTTATAAATCAAGAAACACAAAACAGTCAAATAATTCTTAAATATATTTTAATCAAGTATTTCATATTTGTTACATGCTTGGACTATACTATGAAAAGTTAAGACAATAATTATATTAAGAATACTACATATGTTCCAAGATTTCTGATGTGAGAGGTCTGTCTTCAAAAGTTAACCAAGATTAACAGCTAACAATGCGTTTTCACTTTCCATAGTTTAGTAAATCACTAAGGCTATCCCGATACAATAGTAGTATATTCAGTAAACTTTAACCAACCAAGCAACTTGATATTTTATGTTTTGTGAACAAACACAGGTTTCTAATTATGTAGCTTTTTAATATTATTTCATATCTAGGGGAAGTTATTTCCTAAAATTCTGTTTTTACAAGACTTAATTGCTGTTGTTATGTGCCATGGAGTCAATTCTGACCCACAGCGATCTTGTACGGGGTTTCCGAGGCTGTAAATCTTTATGGGAGCTGAAAGCCTCATTTTTCTCCAGCGGAACAGCTGGTAGTTTCAAACTGCTGACCTTGCGGTTTGCAGCCCGATTCGTATCCACTACACTACCAGAGTTCCTTTATAAGACTTAATTACTTCTCTAATAATTTAGACTTTACTTGTCAACTCAATCTGAACCTGGGTACTTTAGGAACTTTTATAAAGAAAAGGTAAGCAGTTCAAATCTGCCAGTTGCTAAAAGGGAAAAAGATGAGGCAGTCTTGGAAATCATATACAGGGTCTCTATAAGTCAGAACAGACTCGGTGGCACAAAACAATATATACACCTTTGTTGACATTTGTGTCTTTCAAGAAAGTTAGCATGATCACATATTTGACTAGCCAGTAACCTGAAAGCAATGAATCAGTTTCAGCATATAAGTTTTTAAATGCCCATTAATGATAGGAATATGAACTGCATGTCTCTAGACCTAAAAATGGAGTCCTGGTATGGTGCTGTGGGGCAATGCGCCAGACTGTGAAGTTGTTTGAACTGCAAGGTCAGCAGTTCAAGCTCACCAGCTGCTCCTTGGAAACCCTATACACGGTTGCTATGGGTCGGAACTTCTTGACAGTACTAACCAACAACAATAGACCTAAAAATTTCCTCATTAAGTGTAGGTTCAATGTAACCTAAGTTATACATGCATACAGAGAAAATAAGGGAAGAAAATCAATTACAGTGAATCCCATTAAATCCTCTTCCTCCTCCTACACAGGAAAGCTGAAAGTGATAAAATGCTCAGAGAATTGCCAGACATCTTCTTAACATTAACCTATTAATCTTCACAACACTCATAAAGCAGACTCAAGTACCTCTAGTTTTACAGATGAAAGAACCATTACTACTGAGTGATTCCCCCAAGGTCACACACACAAAGGTAGAGATGAGATTAAACTAAACTCTAGGACTTAGTACTCTTCCATGTTTAGTTAAAGACTGCTTATTTCAAACCAAAAAGTTAATAGAATTACCTCACTCTCTGTATATCTCCTCTCTATCTGTGCTGTCTAGTAAGACAGCCACTAGCCCCACATGTGGTTATTAAACACTTCAAATGTGGCTAAATTCATACCTAGATATTCTGTAAAAGGGGCTTCAAATAGTTCATGGGAAAATGTAATAGGAAGATAAAGAGAATTTTTCAATGAACTTTCAAAATAAACGACATACCAGACTTGTAAGATTTAGTAAAAAAAAGAATATACTGTATGTTGAGATGCTATAGTGGCGATATTAGATTAAATTAGCACATTATTAAAATTAGTGTTACCAGTTTCTTCGAACTTCTGTTAAATGTAGCTACTAGAAAAAATTTATATACGTCAAGATCTCAGATGTCAAGATCTAAACCATAGTATTTTTTTCCTAAAAATTGTTATAGCACAACATAATAGCTATACCGGGGGAGGGGAAAGCATACATGTAAATAACAAAGCCCACTCTAGTACTCTCTTAGATAACTGAAGATGTTTCTATTTCATTACAGATGTAATGCTGTAGGATAAGCACTGGACTGCTAACAACAAGGCCTCAAAACCACCAATATTCCATGGAAATCCTTGGAACTAAGTTGATGGCTCTTAACATGTGACTTTGAGTAAGTCTTAACTGAGAGAAAGTATGACTTTCCATTAAGAGTCACAGATCATTTCCTTAGGTAGAAAGTGAAAATAATTTCTATTCTTAATGCACTCAAAGGGATATCAAAGTCACCAAATGACATCCATAAAGCACTTCATATGAACATCTCAAAACTCTGCCTAGTGTGTATTTATAGTTATTTGTTTAAAAAAATCACACAGCATAATGTTCTTTTTCTCATTTTGACTAAAGTAATAAGCGGTATACATGGAAGAGGATTATCAATTAAAAAAAAAAAAAGAATCTTGTGATAGCTTCTCTAGAAAACAAGTTGGGCAATTTCTCAAAAGGATAAAATAGAGTAAGCATTATTAAGTGACGCCAAGTCGGTTCTGACTCATACTGACCCTGTATAGAGTTTCCTGGTGTAGTGCTGTGGGATAAAGCACTGAACCACAGCGTTGGTTTGAACCACAAGGTTGGTGGATCAAACTCACCAGCCACTCCTCATGAACCCTACACAGAATCACTGTGGTCGGAACTGACTTGACAGTACTTAACAACAACAGAGTTTCTGAGGAGCATCTGGTAGGTTTGAACCACTGACCTTGAGGCTATTAGTTCAGTGCTTATCCTACAACACTTCAAAGTTACCATTGTTGTTGTTAGGTGCCACTGAGTCGGCACAGACTCAGCGCGACCTTATGCACAGCAGAACTAAACACTGCCCGATCCTGGGCCAACCTCACTACTGTTGCCACGCTTGAGTCCATCGATACTGCCACTTGGTCAATTCATCTTGCTGGGGGTCGTCTTCTTCTTCTCTGACCCTCCAAGTTACCATACATTCCAGCAATTCCACTCCTTGATACATACATTATAAATGTGTTTACACAAAAGCTTGTATATGAATGTTCATAGCAGTAATATCCATAATAGCCCCAAAGTGGAAACAACCAAACTTGGTATCCACTGAGATAATGGATAAACATGTAGCATATTCCTACAATGAAATATCATTCAGCGATAAAAGGAATGAACATATTACAACATGGATGAACCTTAAATATATCATGTTAAGTGAAAAAAGCCAGTCACAAAAGATCACATATAGTATTCCACTTACATAAAATGTCCAAAATAGGCAAGTGTGAAGACACCGTACAAAGACACAGGAAGTACATGAGATGCTGTCTAAGCCTTGGAGGGGAGGAGGAATAGGAAAGGGAGAGGCCAGTGACTGCTAATGACTATGGACTTTCTTTTTGAGGTGATGAAAACATCCTAAAATTGACTATGGCAACGAAAGCACAACTCTGAATACAGTAAAAAACTGCACACTTTAGATGGATGAAACTGTTTGGAGGAAAAGGATTCATGTATTGTTAAGTATGTAATTACTATTTTTTCTGTTATTTTAATCTCAACTTTTAAATTTCAGTTAGTTTTTTTTTTCTTCTCATTCTTGGTACATATAGTTGTAAATATGCTTCCATCACATTGCTGCACAACTTGGAAAATGTACTAAAAGTGATAAAATGAACATTTAAAATGAGTGAATTTTATGGTATACAAATTATATTTCAATAAGGTTAATTTCTAAATAAAAAAGATCACATAGATTACACCCCCAGACACTTAAAACTCCCTCAAAGTATGAGACCCACCAAAACAGTATAAATTTCCTTATAATAAAGTATTATATATGTATGTATGTATGTGTGTGTGTGTATAAAACATTAAGATCGAATAAGGGAAAAAATGATTGAATGACATGATGTTGTTATGTGTTGTGTAGAAAGCCACTAATATCTCTTAAGGAATAAGCTTGCTCAGACGCAGAGTGGATTTAAAACAAAACATAAAGTTACATACTTATTTACCTAGTCTGAAAGCTGAAAGGAAGACCTCCTCTATTAAAAATCTGTAATTTCTACGTGTATGCAAACCCACACACCTCTTGTAGCTTGAGAACCTTGGAGCAGTATCTAAGACAATCAAGCTTTTTTCCCCCTTTCCAAATGGGATGGGTGTGTGTGTGTGTGTGAGATGGTAGCATTCCATAACCCCCTTCCCCGCTACCACCACCAGCAGGTGGAGGGAAAGGATACTGTAGACTAGAGAATGACAGGTTTGTACAACCCTTTAGACTTTCTATGTAAGAATACAGCTGGTAGTTTTCTCTCTGGAGGGAGTAGAGAGATTTGTGGCCTAGCTGAAATAAGGGGTATCCTTTGCCTGGAAGAGGACACACTGTGAGCCGCCACGTCTTGAAATGTCCAGTGTAAAACACAGCCCTCTCTTAGACACTTCTAGCATCACCGGGATAGCCTCTTACTCCTGGGGTTTTTTTTTCGGAGGTGGGGTGTTTGGTTTGCTTTTTTCAACAGAGAAGTTAACTCCTGTAGTTTGGAGATCGGAAGGAGGCGGGGGTAAAGCGGAAATCGGGAAGACCTTTCAGTCATAATGCTCGGGCCTCACAGAGGAAGTTCCAAGCCCCACTCGGCGGCCACACGCCGGTCCTCCCCCTCACCTTCCATATCTGCAGCGTCAAACCTCGGTGCTGAGCACTCGCACGCCTCCTCCGCACTCGCCGCGCCCGACCTTCCAGCCGCGCGGCCCAGCACCTAGCACTCGCGCCGGGCCGACTCCGCGGGGCAGGCCTAGGCCGCGCCGGCAGTACCCATGCACCTCGCTCCCCAGCGGAGGCGGAACAGGCCCGACACAAACTTCCCGGCGCGTTAGTAGAGGCGTCACGGACGGGCCGGCCCCCAGCGCCATTCCCCCGCGGCCCGGCAGCGGCTCCCGCCCCGACTCCCCACACTCGGATTCCCAGTGGAGACCGGCCCAAGGCTCACGGCCCTCAAACACTCCGGCGCCCCTGGCTTTACCTCCAAGTCGCGGCCTTTGTTCTTGAAATTCTTGAGCCGTTGGTTGTCCAGTTTCTCGTTGTCCGCCATGGCCGGGCCGGTGACTCCTTCCCCCGCCCGGGCCCCGCGGGATCCGCCCCAACCACCGCGCCGCTCCGACACTCCCAGGAACCGGGCCGCCGCCCGAGCTGCTAGGTCTGCCGCGCCACCGCTTCTTTCCTTCCCTCACCTGCCTCCACCGTGGCCTTCTCCTCCTTTCCCCGCCCGTCCCCCGCCCGCCCTAACCCAAGCGCGAAGACAGCTCAGACGAAGACAACTGCGGGGAAGAGCGGCGGCTACGGCGGCGGAATGTGCGGCTGGAGGAGAGGGGGAAGCAGCCTCGATCTGAGGGCTCCGGCGCCGCGGCCACGCCTATCACCGCCAGTCTAGCTCTCCAATTGGCTAACCTAGCTCCGGTGCGCTCGACCAATCAAAAAGGGCAATGGAGAGCGAGGGGCGGAGAGCGAACGGAAAGGGGAAGTGAGCGACTCTGGGAGGCAAGGACTAGAGGACAGGAGGGGAGGTAGCGGAGGGGAGGGGCACCGCGGAGCAAGGCAGGAAGGGGCCGGCCATGTGCTTTGGGTGTAGACTGGCGGAAGCGAGCGCAGTAGCCCTTTCGGGGTGGGCTGTTAGGAAAGGACAGTGACCTGGGTACTGGGCGGGGATGGGAAGGTTTGCTGCGTTAGTCAGGACTTCCCCAGACCTCTGGAGATTACAGTCGAAGACGAATTCCCATCAGTGAGCCCTCTTTTCCAAGGCATTCCTTGCACGCCCGTTCGCTGTGCAGGAAGTGGAGCTGCATCTAGCTCTCGTTCTGGCTCAGAGAACCCCGACAGGGGATCCCCCGCCGCCTGTGGGTCAGGCATCCAGGCCTAAATTGGCGGGAGTGAAGTGGGTGCAGCAAAAGAATCTGAAAGCGATAGGGACGGTGGGTGGAAAAGGAGAGTCAGTCCCATTGCACAAATCTGATTCATCCCCTCTGACCAAGTGTGCACAACAGGTAGGAATTTGGGAAAGCTAACAATGAGGAGACAACCTAGTTGAGATTTAGAAAACTAAAGCTATTGGGCGACCAACTTTTGCAGGGCGGGGACCGTTGAAACTGACATAACTGTGGGGCTCTAGGATAAGCACTGGACTGCTAACCATGACGATTCAAACCCACAAACTGCTCGTAAACCCTATACAGAGTCGTTATTAGTTGGAACCGACTCTACGGCACTTAACAACTGAGAAAGGAAATAAATTCAGAGGTTTTAACAGGAATATCATTACCAGAGGCAACAGCAGACACAGGAAAATTAAAATGTTCCAAATTACGTATATATATATATTTTGTAGTCCTGGTGTGGCGCTGTGGACTAATGTGTCGGACTGCAAAGTCGTTTGAACTGCAAAGTTGGTGGTTCAAGCTCACCAGCTACCCCTTGGGAACCCTATACAGGGTCACTATGGCTTGGAATCAACTCGACGGCATTTAACAACAACAACATATATATTATTTAAGTAAAACCACGCACAGTGATAAAAACTTCATAATGTGAAATGTTCGTTGAACAAACACTTTTCATAAAAAAGTGGGTCAACTAGTAAAAATAGAATCCTTGTGTGGTGTTGTAGGATAAGTATGGACTGCTAACCCCAAGGTATGTGGTTCAAGTCCAACAGCTGCTCCATGGGAGTCCTATACAAGCTTCTTGTGAGTCGGAACCCAACTGATGGCACTAATAACAACTGTTGTTGTTGTTGTTGTTGTTAAGTGCCATCGAGTCGGGTCCGACCCATAGCGACCCTGTACAGGGTTTCCGAGGGTGTAAATCTTTACGGGAGTAGAAAGCCTAAATAAAACAGCTGAATTTATTTGGGGGAATGGGATGAAGAAAGCTGTAGGACTTTAAAAGTTTTATGGGAAGGTGTTATAAGGGAATGCAGCAGAGTAGAAGGCAAAAACCTCTAAATGCTCAATATATACTTTAAATTGGGCTATGAGGAGCACAGGCTGTGCATTCACACTACAGGTTAACTACAATGTAAATTCCATGCAGATTTAAAGATGTAAATTATAAAGGACATTATAAATCTTTATTTCCCAGTGAATCATTTAACTGAAAAAAGCATTGTATTTGAATGCTGGAGCTCTGATTTTTTTCAAAATAAGTTTGGGATAAGAAATTTTCAGTTGAAAAACTGGAGTATGTGTGTTTTGCCATAGTTTTTCATAAGCAGAGTTCAAGAAGGCAACGGTGAATTCCCACCCTATAATTAGAAGTTAGCCTGTCAATATGTATGTAGAGATGACTATTTAATACATTTTGGAATAAATTCCATGATAGTTGCAGAATTGCCTACTGTTAGAAAAGTCATATCTCCCAACTGCAACTGCTCTCTTGGCACAATACTCCTAAGAGGAGGGTATGATCACAGTTACTGAGAAAGATCCAATACAAATAAGAAATAACCACAGGCTATATATTTAAGGAGCTCTGGTAGCTTAGTGGTTACAAATCAGGCTGCTAATCTCAAGGTCGGAAGTTCGAAACTACCAGTGGTTCCGCAGGAGAAAGATTAGGCTCTTTGCTCCCATAAAGATTTACAGCCTCGGAAACCCTGTACAGGGCTGCTATGAGTCGGAACCGACTCCACGGTACTTAGCAACAACAACATAATTTTATTTTACTTGTTTAATGTGTTTTAGGCCCATCTTCCTCTCTAGACAATAAGCTCCTTGAAATCAACTACGTGAAGGGACTTCCAAAAATTTGTGGAAAAATAGAATGAAAAGATAATGAATTTTTTTCCCCACAAACTTTTTGAAGTCTCTTTGTACAGTTGACTGTTGAACAACATGGATTTGGACATCCAAGGATCGAATTATACTTGGGTTTTAAAAAATCCTTTATGATGCTAGTCATCTCTGCATGAACAGTTTGTCTTTCCAGTAAATTGTGAATCTCAGTTAAAAAAAATGATCTCTTGAAGTTCTCATATTTTTTTAATTGTGTTTAGTGCAATACCATAAAACTTGAATAACACCATGGGACCTATACAAAGTGCCACTGGTGATGCTGGGAGTGCTCACAAGAAGCAGAGAAAAGGCATGACATTTTAAGAAAAAGGTGGATTGCTTGATGTGTATTGTAAATTGAGGTCTGCAACTGTGGTTCCCTACGATTTCAAGACAAAAGACTCTAGCGTCAGGACCATTGTTAAAATAGAAAAGGAAATTCATGGAGCTATCACTACAGCTACACCAGCATGTGCAAAAACCTTGCGTTGTTTGCAAAATTTTTATCACTTGTTGAAAATGCAGCTTTTATGTGGGTAAATTATATAATACATTGTTGTTGTTAAGTGCCTTCAAGTCAGTTCAGACGCATAGCGACCCTGTGTAGGATTTCCTAGGAGCAGCTGGTGAGCTTGAACCACTGACCTTGCAGTTCAAACTGACTTGACAGTTCAGCGCATTAACCCACAGTGCTACGCCAGGAGTCCATATAATACATTTGTAGTTATTGTTGTTAAGTGCCGTTGAGTAGATTCCGACCCATAGCGACCTTGTATAGATAGGGTTTCCAAGGAGCGGCTGGTGAGCTAGAACCATCAACCTTGCAGTTCAAACGGCTTTGCATTCTGACGCGTTAATCCACAGCGCCACATCAGGACTTCTATAATACATATGTTGTTGTTAAGTGCCATCTAGTAGGTTCCAACCCATAGCGACCCTGTATAGGGTTTCCGAGGAGCAGCTGGTGAGCTTGAACTGCCGATCTTGCAGTTCAAACGGCTTTGCAGTCTGACGCATTAACCCACAGTGCCACACCAGGACTCCATAGTACATATAGGATACAAAATATGTATTAATTGATTAGGTCAGTGTTTTTGTTGTTATGTGTTGTGGAGTCAGTTCCGACTCATAGCGACCGTATACAGGGTTTCCGAGGCTGTAAATCTTTACGGGAGCAGAACGCCTCATCTTTCTCCAGTGAAACAGCTGGTAATTTAAAACTGCTGTCCTTGAGGTTCGCAGCCCGATTTGTAACTACTACGCTACCAGAGCGCCTTGATTAAGTCAGGTGTTATTGTTAAGTGCTGTCGAGTTGATTCTGATTTAGGTCAGTAGTAGGCTATGGAGCCCTGGTGTGGCGCCGTGGGTTAATGCGCCAGACTGCAAAGCCATTTGAACTGCACGGTTGGCGGTTCAAGCTCACCATCTGCTCCTTGGAAACCCTATACAGGGTTGCTATGAGTTGGAATCGACTCGACGGCACTTGACAACAACAGGCTATTAATAGTTGTTTGTTGTTGTTGTTGTGAAGTGCTGTCGAGTTGGTTCCCACCCATAGCAACCCTGTATATGGTTTCCGAGGAGCAGCTGGTGAGCTTGAACCGCCAACCTTGAAGTTCAAACAGCTTTGCAGTCTGGCGCATTAACCCACAGTGCCTCACCAAAACTCCAAAATCCTTATAAGCAGACCAATGGTGGTGGTGGTGGTTATGTGCCGTGGAGTCTGTTCCGACTCATAGTGACCCTGTACAGGATTTCCGAGGCTGTAAATCTTTTTTTTTTGACTCTCAGTTTTAATAATTCAAACCATGACTCATTAGAGAATGTTTGATACTCTGCTTATCAGAATCCAATTAACCTTATTTATGAATTACCATGATGTGGTGATGTAGGATAAGCACTGGACCACTAAATCGCAAGATTGACAATTCAAACCCACCAGTCATTCCTCAGAAACCCTATACAAAGGTCACTGTGAGCCCGTACAGACTTGAAGGCACTTAACAAAAAGAACAGCTGTTAAGGTCTTATCGTTCAGTTGTGGCCATTCCAGAGCACGTTTTAGCCACAAACAGCAGTATTTTAGATACCCCATGTAAGACCATTGAACCAATTGTCCATCTGGTCACAGGACATTTGGCAAATGAAACCAAGTTGCTTCTTGACATCAGCTGTAGCATGTTTACTTTTATGCCCTTTTCCCTCCTTTTCCTCCCCCTCCCCCACACCACACCCCAACCAATGCAGTTTGTATGTAGTTGTTAAGTGCCTGATTCACAGTGAGCCTGTATAGAGTTTCTAAGGAGTGACTGATGGGTTTGATGCTGGTCATACAGCATCACAGCAGGACTGTATTTATAAATATTGCTTATTTCTGTTTTGTTCTTCAGTTTGTCCAATGCTCTTCGCTTCAATA